TTTTATTTTTGAGAGAGACAGAGGGAGACAGAGAGTGAGCAAGAGAGGGGCAGAGGGAGAGTGAGAGAGAATCTTAAGCAGGCTCCACTCAGCATGGATCCAGATGTGGGGCTTGATCCCAAAACCCTGGAATCATGACCTGAACCGAAATGAAGAGTCAGACAGTCAGCAGACTGAGCCACCCCCGCACCCTGAAGCTAGTGAAGTTTAAATAGCTTGCGCAGTATATGGATTATAGAAATTCGTCAACACTGGCAAACCAACACCATTAACTTACATTCCCCCATGAAGTAGAATATGATATTACATAGTACAAGGATTTGCTAAATACTTCATAAGCATCAAACAGAGCAATTATCCTGGAAAAGAAAATTGTAAAACAAACGTCCCACACCATAGCTGGATGATTTGGAAGAAGTCATGAATCCTCTCTTCCATATATAGTCCACTCATTTGTCATATGGAAATCTTCCTACCCTCCCTTTCGAGTGGATGGAGTCTCACAATAACAAATGAGTCAACTTGAAATCTCTTCAAAAGAAATGGAGTTCTAATATGTGCTATTAAAATTAATATCTGATGATCTTTAAATTGTTTCACTATAATTACTTGGAGGAATTTCTAAGACCTCAAAGTAAATATTTTCATTATAGACCAATAGATATTGGGCTAGAAAAGCTACTCATTGGGAACACTAACCTTGCAGATCTCTGCAGAATGTTCTATTTTAATGTTCATTGCTACATTTGAAGAGCTGGTAATTTAAAAATATGGGTAATGAATGATTAGTCCCTTCTATTTATTGAGGTTTATAGGGATGTTTTTAAAAAAAGAATTTAATGTTGATTTATTTTTGAGAGAGAGAGAGAGACAGAGTGCACATGGGAGAGGGGCAGAGAGAGAGGGAGACACAGAATCCAAAGCATGTTCCAGCCCTCTGTGGGGCTCAAAGCCTCAAGCCCTGAGATGGACACTCAACCAACTGAGCCACTTAGGTGCCCAACATTTATAGGGAATTTTAGGAAAATGTTTTTACTCCTCCCTTTTGTTAAAGAATTAGTGAATTAGTGGGCACTTACTTTTTTTTTTTTTTTCGATTGTTCTGTTTTTGTAAAAAAGAAAAACAAAAGAAGAAACGCAAAGATTTTATAAGCTTCTGCTTCAGGAACAGACTCCCCTTTGCAGGACCATGCAAACACTTAAGAGATCCTCAGAGTTTTCCAAAGCTAAAGAAGAGATCATCTTCTCTTCATTTCATCAACAAGCTCACTTTTAACACTTCTCTATTAATTTTGTATCAGAGATGTTTTATTCTGAAGTATTTGCGATAGATTTTTAGTTTCATTTCTCATGCTGCCATGTTAGGGATGAAGGGTTTGGAAGATGCGCATTTACCAATGAAACTTATGTAAGGGAAGTATTTACTTCCTAATAGTCATACAACATTTATTTGATCCCAATTGTATATAGTTGAGTCTGTCAAGTTGCAGGTCAATATAGTGGGGTCTCTCAACACCAAGTTGTAGTCATTTGTCCATTCATGCACTGAGTGCCTTTACTTTGGAGAAACATGAATAGGACCTGATTGATGAGCTCTCAGTCTAGTAAGGGAGACAGAACAGAAGATGGCTAACTCCAATTCAGAGAGAGAGAATGACTTGAAATCCATCAAAGACGTAAATAGTTGTGGCTAGACTGGAGCCATCAAATAAAGCTTCGTGCAATAAGCAGCAAGAGCCAAAGATGGCAGTTCAGCAAAAGGCACAAAGCTGATAAAAGCAGTAAGTAGCAAGTGGTTTAGTTTGCTGGAAATGATAAGCCGAGCAAAAAGCTGTGATTAGGATAAAAAGAAAAAAAGGATTTATGAGGGTCTGATTGTAGATGGTTGTCAGTACTAGATTAGAAGCATGTGCCTGTGTATCAGGAAATGGATGCCCTTAAAGTTTTTCTGAGCAGCAGAGAAACACGATCAGAGGCACACTTAAGGAAGATCCTCAACACTGTAACTAGTAATTTTGGGTAAACTACTTCCTATGTTCTGACTCGAGTTTTGCATCTGTCTCACAACCAATATTAGTCATTTTTGTTCCCATATGCAAGGGGCTCAAAAGAAAATCTGCTTATATCATTTTCCAAGCTAATCACAAAAACTAAGAAAACCCTTTCATTAAATATTTATAAGGTAAATTTAAAAAGAGGAAGAGGAAACAGTCAATATATTTTGGTTTTAGTACTGGGCAGTTTCTCTCCTGCAAGCATACCTCCATTTAAAATGTAAAAGAAAAGATTTGTTAGCGGTATCGTTTTTTCAAATCTTTGATATTTTCTCATGAGACACATAAAAAAAGTGTTATTGGCTATATTTACATCTTATGTAAAGAAAGAAAAGAAAAACAAATAAACAAAAAGAAGAAGCCATAAAGCAGTTCCATTAATTGCACTTTGTAACATGAATTCTTTCTTCCTTCACTGGGAATAGCTTGCCGGGGCCTAATGATTTATTTAAATGGAGGGATTTTTATAGGCCTAGAATATTAGGATCCTTTATTAACTTTTATGTTCTGGGGATAAACAAGAGACAGCGCATCAAGTTTCCCAGGTAACACAAAATCTCCCCACCTAATCACATGTTCAGTGCAAAACCTCAGCATTTCTTTATGCACAGCAAATAAATTGGTTTGTCACCATACCAATTGTTTACTTTGTTAAAACGTTTTAGGGAGAACACATGTAAAAGAGAACTCATCACAGTAATTTACCAGCAGTAAAGGACAACTCATTACCCTTCTACCAGTACTCCGGGGTATGACTTACTGTCGTTGCAAAGCGTGTCTCCCCAGCCAGCTGGGCAAGAGCACTCACTCCTCCCTTCTGGGCATCTGCCTCCATTCAGACAGTCCTCACAGCTCACAGGGCAATTGTATCTGAAGGTGGGATCTAGGCTGACAGAACTATGACCCCATCTCAGCTGGCCCATACTGTCTACATCACTGAAAATGGAAATGAAACCCTTCATTTCTCAAAGAAAGAAAGAAAGAAAGAAAGAAAGAAAGAAAGAAAAGAAAAAGAAAAAATGAAAAGATCTTTGAGCATGATTCCTGAACAGTCTCAGAAAGATAATAGCAATAAAACCTTTTAAAAGAGAACTTTAAATATAGACCCTAAAGACTATTGAGAATGTTTAAGAAAGCAAAAAAGTAAAAAGAAATTATCATTGATTCCTGAACATGAAAATTATGTTTCTGGCACTTTGGTGTTATTCCTTCTAGGTTGTTTTAATACAAAACTGTTGTTTTTTCTTCCAGTAATATTTTTGAAATTTTTTACTGAGATTTAATATACATGCAGAGAAGTCCATAAAACTCAAGTTCATACTTGAGTTCACACTTTTTTCTCCACAATGTAAATAAATAACCCCTTGTAATTGGCACCCAGTTCAAGATATAGATAACTACCAGTACCACAAAAACTCGAAGGTAATTTGATGATTTCTTAATCATTAGCCTTACAAACTGAGCATTATTCTGATTTCTATCACCACAGATTATTTTTTCTTATTTTAGAACTTCATATAAATGAATTTTACAAAAAGTATGTATTCTTTGGTATCAAGCTTCTTTCCCTCAGAATGTTTGTGAAACACCCATATTGTGTGCAGTCTAGTTTGTTTGTTTTGTTTTTTTCCATTTCTTTTTTTAGATTTTTTTAAGTTAATTTATTTATTTTTGAGAAAGACAGAGACAGTGTGAGCAGGGGAGGGGCAAAGAGAGAGAGAGGGAGAGAGAGAATCCCAAATAGTCTTTACGCTGTCAGTACAGAGCCTGACGTGGGGCTCAAACTCCCGAAACCATGAGATCATGACCTGAGCTGAAACCAAGAATTAGATGCTTAACCCACTGAGCCACTCAGGTGCCCTGCTAGTTTATTTCTTAATGGCTGTGTAGGTTTCTATTGTGTAAATGTAACATAATGTGATTTTCCATTCTATTCCTTGGGGAAATTACCTTAATTTGAATAAGAATGGAGAGACTCGATTTCAGTTGTTTTCAGGACTATTCCATTTCAAATTTTGCTCCTGTTTCTAGGTGGGGTCTTTCAGACTTTCTAGTTGAAAGTCTGTCAGGTTTAGTAAGGTCTCTATTCTATCTCTTCTGACTTTGAGAAGGCAAAGTATCAGGAGTTTATGTAAGAAATATCAAAGCATTTCCATTTTTATGCAGACACATTTATTGATATTATTATTATGACTGACCATATCATAAATGTGTCTCTGCCATTTCAACCAACTCTTTCTACAGCAATCTCCAAGCTTTGATAGTATTAAAATACCACGAATAGGATGAGAACAAAAAGAGCAGTTCTGTTTTACAAAGAAAAGAAAAAAAAAAGAGGCAGCAGACTGGCTGCAAACTGTTACTCTTGAAAGAGGGTATGCTAATTTATTTTGATCAGAAGTGATTTGATGCTTCAGTTCTGTTGCGTGGATGTATAAGAGAAACTGCTCACATTTTAAAAGATATTTTTCTTGGTCCACTTGAGCATAATGAACAATTGTTTTTTGGCATTTTAAAATGTAGAAAGAATCTAGATTTTAAGGCTATTTGAGGTAAATTTCAACTATGTAATAGTGACTTCTAGTGGAGCTGTAATAGTTACAAGAATCAGAAGGTCCCAGTACAACCCTTCTCTCCGTTATGCTAATATAAAGATAGTTTCCAGCTCCATTTCACTGTCTTGCACTTCAACATCCCCCCCACACCCTGTACTTCCACTCCTACACACACCTACATAACAACCGTTATTGTGCAAAAGGAAGAAAGACAAAAGATGTAGAATTTGACAGGAAGCAGTGAAGATGTAATTTGGGCCCCACATTTCTTGCTACCATCATGTTAAAAGACTCAAAGGCATTAAATATCGACAATGAAATGACAAAGAAGAGAATTTATGTGAAATACCGAAAAACAAAGAGGTGAGTATAATTAAATTCTTTCACTGACCAATTTTATGCAGTTCTCGAATATGCGTTTCCTGTCCTCCTCATCTTCATCTGTGTAGGCGGTAGGCAGAGCGGTAGCAACATCAGGAAGCAGTTGAGGTGGGCTCTTGAATAGAAGGCCTGGAAACCTTACAAGTTCCAATTCCTCTTCTTCCTCCGTCTTGTCAGCATCTAAAGCTAAGGCCACACAGAAAAATGCCTGGGTACAACATGCTGTTTAAAAGAAGGAAAAACTGAGCAATGGTTGATGAGAGAAATGACAGAGTTTGAATCAGACAGCCAGGGCAGGGGGTGACTGGAAGGTGAATCTCTTTGAGAAGGCCCTTTCAAAAAGTCTTTTGTAAATGCAGGTGAGAAGCAGCAAGCACGAAGTTGAAACCGCAGGGGACTGAACCGAAGGAAAAGGAAGAGCTCAGTCTGTGAAGAGGGAAAGGGGAGGGCAGGTTGAGTTAAGGGTCACGTGGTCTCCGTTTCTCTCCAAGAACAAGATGAGGGTGGAAATATTTAGAAGAGAAACAATAAAATTCTTCACAGCGACTTACAGATGCAAGTTTTCCCATCACTTCCAATTCTGGAGCCTTCCACACAGGTATAGTCGTATGTTCCCACAGAGTTCATACACAGCTGGTCACAGACTCTACTGACATTCAGACACTCATCCACACCTAGGAAAATTTAAACAATGTTGTTTTTAGGTGTTGAGAGATAAGATAGACGTTATGAACTCATGGGCATCACTGTGTTCCCCTTGTGACCTTTATTAGTCAGTAACAAGGTTTGTCCATGTAGAAAGCATAGCTCCCAAACTCTTCTCAAGTATACCGTGCCAATTATTTTTCTTCCACTCATTTCCAAGTTTACTGTAGTTCATCTACACAGACAAGTTCTTCCTGAAACCTTGATCACAAGATTTTGATGAAGAATATACAACTTAAAAGACATTCAATGGTCTCAGGCTGTGCACCACTTCTGCAGAACGTTCATCATTCTCGAATTATTCAGTATCTGTGGTGAAGAATTTATTCCACATGTAATTCTGTACAAGGCTTGTGGACAATTTTAGAGATGGAAGGCCTTGATCTCATGACTTACTAGTGGTGTATGTCCACATATGAGCCCAGACTTTGGTCAATGTGTTTATGATACTAAAAGTTCATTTATAAAGCTGAGTTTCTAAGTTTTGCTTCAGATTTTGGATACCTTTCCCATTTGGATGTGTGTACCCAAGTATGTACATTCACGCCATACAATCATCTCTTGGCTCACTCTACTTAAAAGCAGATGGTACGTGAAATTCAATTTTTTTTTTTGGCCTTGTTAATTGGATGGAATGTGGTAAATGGTAATATACTCTACTGTGTTTAGAATATAGATACAGTTTTATATTCTTTGCTGTTATCTACACTGCAAGCCTAAGGAGCTTGGCTACCCATATGAAGAAACATACCTATCATCCTCAAAAGAATGTAGGGGAAGTTGTTTAAGCAAAGAAACACTATTCTCTCTAAAACGTTAAAACCTTCTCACGTAATTTTACTGTTATTAAAATAGATATCCATCCTCTAATCTTTGCTTCTATTTAAAAATTATGGATCAAAATAATGGTAATAATGATCATAAATGAAAAAGTTTATATATTTAAGATAAGCTTTAAGAAATAAATTACACCAATGACTTACAAGAGCCATTTTTAGTAGTATAAAGAGGTGAATTAATCCTACTCACTAAATTCGCACTTTCCTATGATATTTAAACATATATATCATAAAACTGGTTTTAACAAATAAATCGGAAGATTATAAAATGACTCATCTGAAAGCTTGCATTAGGTAGATTAATTTCGGTTATGTAAAGGAATGTGGTAAAAATCTGAACTGTGGCTCATGAACTGGCAATCCTTCTGCTTTGACTCTCTTAATTAAAATGACTTTGAGCAACCAACTTTAATTCCCATCAAGCTTGCCATGAGTGATTCTTATGGCAGTGTGCTATGGCCTCCCTGAATATCTCTCTTGCCTATGTATATTAAATTAGGTAAAAGGGATTATGGGCCAATGAATATTATACTAATAATAGCTACTTTTAGCAGAGTGATTTCTTGATGTCAATCACTGTACTAGGCACTTTACATTTATTACTTTACTTAATTTACCCACTAATCCTATTATTGTCTTCACTTTACTGATGAGGATCTGAGGCTCAGAGCAGTTAGGGTCACCCAAGTTCATACAATAGTGAATGGTAGAAGCACATACAAATCCAAGTCCCTTTAGTGTCAAAACCTTCCCTTTCCTCCCCTAACCCTCAGCCTCAGATGTTCATCCTGCACTGATTGCCACATCACATAATGATTTCATGTTCGATCTCAGGAATTTACCATCACATCCACAACCATCAGAAGTGATTCGAAAGCCTTCCTGACAACTGAATTCACAGCCTCCTAAATAGTTGAGGCAGAGTTGGGCACAGCAGGCTTCTCAACTCTCACATTCATCGAGGTCTGAAGGAGAAAAGGACATTTATGTTATTTAAGAGACCGGCATTGAACCAACCCATAGAAGTCGGTTAACTTCCAAGTTACAACTGTTTTACTGATCATTTTCTGTTTCTCAAGCTACACAGTACAAACATCAAAGAAACTATAACACAAAAAGAATGAGGCCCACATTTGGGTTTGTTTCTTAAATGCTTCTCCTATGCTTGTAAAGCATGTAAATCATGTCCAAGTGCATTGATAAGCACAGGAAAAGAGATATCTGCTATTTTCCCAGTTTAAACAGCAATCTGACTGAATAAACAGAGATCAGAGGACGACGACAACAACAACAACAACAGCCAGTCTTGAGAAGAGACAAAAAATTCCACTTTGTGAACATTTTGTGGCCACAAAGAGGAGGTAGTCTTAGCCTCCATAATGTGTTTGTTCTTCCAGAACTTCAGATGAAAGAACAATCCCAAGTAAATGGAATTCATGTGACTGGCAAGAGAAGTGGTAACTGCAATTGAGAGAGAGGGCAGAAAATCATTTTAAATATTATGTTTTTATTTTTATTTTTTTAATTTTTTTTCAATGTTTTTATTTATTTTTGGGACAGAGAGAGACAGAGCATGAACGGGGGTGGGGCAGAGAGAGAGGGAGACACAGAATCGGAAACAGGCTCCAGGCTCTGAGCCATCAGCCCAGAGCCTGACGCGGGGCTCGAACTCACGGACCGCGAGATCCTGACCTGGCTGAAGTCGGACGCTTAACCGACTGCGCCACCCAGGTGCCCCAAATATTATGTTTTTAAATGACAGAATATTTCAGGGCATTTGCTTGAACTATTTGATGATGCTTTGACTGGATGGATGAGTGGGATCTAGGGGGTTTTATCACCATTGGTGACACCATTACCTTGGCATGTCCTATCAGATAAACTGTTTTTAAAATAATTGTCTTTAAGTCTCCTTCAACACTATTATTCTAAAAGTTTACCATCTTGAATGTTGCTTCCTAAGACATAATTGCCTTGAGGAAAATAAACATGTACCAGAAGATGTCCAATCAAAAGCTTTCAGCTGCAAAATAATCTATTTGACCTGAGTTTTGAGGTGATCATTTCTAACATAATTGGCTGAGGAGTGGTGACAGACTCTTCACCCACTATTTCCTTAGGCTACACAGCTGGGAATTGGGTGGTCAGGGTTTTTGGCTATCTGCCCTTGGTTCAGTTTGACCCCCTCTGTTTGTTCAGCTGTTAAGTTGGGTGGCCTTCAGTGCTGACTTTACTGAATTTCATTGTTCCATAACTCCATGAGCAGTCACAGATATAAAAGGTCAGTGCCTCAATTAACCTTGGAAAGGGTACCAATGTAAGAAATGTAGATAAGAAAAAAGAAAGAAAAAAAGTACAATCAATCAGCCAAGGTGAAGGGTCACCATAAAATATCTAAATGAGGGTCATTTGGACACAAAACGTTCTTCCTCTTGCAAAATGTCACAAGCAGTGCTGCTCACAAAGTTCCTCGTGATATTTTTGCCTTTTTTATATTAAACCTTCTTTTGCCCTTTGGATTAAAAAGCATGAATATAGGGGACCAAAACTTTTTTTATTGCTTTTTTAAAATGTTTATTTATTTATTTTGAGAGAGAGAGGGAGAGAGCAAGCGAACATGACTGGGGGAAGGGTGTTGGGTAGGGGGGATCCCAAGCAAGCTTGGTGGTCTCAGCACAGAGCCCAGTGTGGAACTTGATCCCACGAACCATGAGATCATGACTTGAGACAAAACCACAAGTCAGACGTTTAACCGAATGAGCCACCCAGGCGCCACTCCCCTCAATACTTTTTATAAAACTCAGTTTCATTTCATCAAAAACATTATACTTTAGGTTTTTCTTTTTTTTAATTTTAAGATTTTTTTTTTCTTTTTTTAAAGTCTTCTCAGATACCACCAGAGCCTCTAAACATACAGGTCTTAGGATTCCCTGTTCTCAACTAGCACAGAGCACAATTGTATCGCATAATTGGAAAATTAGTTCCTCCATCTAACTATCATTTTATGATCCATTTTGGATTTTTCTTCTATTATCATTCCTCTGGGTCTATTTCTAGCATGTCTCATCTGTAACATCCTCAGTCTGGAACTCACCTGAATATCCTTTCTGCCTCATAAGCGTTTCTTAAAATGCCCTGTCTCTTCAACTTTTGCATCACCTGTTCCCCAAATTTCTATATATTTTTTTTCTGATCTTATTTGGTGAGATTTTTGCTTGCTTATTTTTCCCTTTTAATTTTCCTCATCTCTATTTTTTCTGACATAAGCCTATATGCCAAACGTTGCAGTGTTACAGAGAAATTCACCTGTATATAAAATTGTAGCCCTAATAATGATAATAATAATAATAATAATAATAATAATAATAATAAAAGAGTATCAACAAGGCAAATGTAGCAAGGCAAAATAATTTAACATTTCAGCTCTAATTTCAAAAAAGCATCCAAAGTAAACCATAAGGGATGCCTGGGTGGCTCAGTTGGTTGAGTATCTGACTCTCAATCTCAACTCAGGTCTTGATACTAAGGTTATGAGTTTGAGCCCCATGTTGGACTCCATTCTGGGCATGTAGCCTACTTAAAAAAACAACAGAAAAAGTAAACCATAAGAGAACTTGAGCTTTTATATTTGTTCCCCATATATGACCACTGAATAAAGCTCCAAAGGTTAGAAATAAAAAAAATATTTCCTAACAATTACCAATTGTTAAATTTAGTGAACTTACTGCCTGTCAGGCACTAATATTTTGGATAGCCACTTAACACATCTCTAAGTTTTAGCCCTAATAAAATTTGCATGTGGGTAAGACTGAACATTTGCAGATTAGATGACTGATTTTCACATTTATTTGTATATTCAACTATATTTTGAAAAGCTAATCTTAAAATAAGCTAAAAAATTATTTAGTTTCCTTTATGCATGAATGTTCTTATAAAGCATCCATGGCTTTAATCTGTTCTCAGGCAAATAAGCAAAGTATGTGTATGTATACTCCAAACAAATCATTGCCTTTACTCAAGTGAATATTTGGACTTAAGGAATGAGTATTATTTATTGTTGGAAGATGAAATAAACTTGAGCCATAAACAGTACAACCTCATGCTGACTGCTGAAATATTATAAATATGTACTTTTTCCACATTTTGACCCTGGCAGATGTTATTTTTTTTTTCTAGCTGTAAATAAGAGCTTCACTGAATTGTACTTTTCAAAGAATAAGGAAAGACACCAGATTGTAAGTTGCAGAGGTTTAGCAAAATTCCAGTTTCTCTTGTCCAACAGTCAAAAGAGAAAGACAGGTAGAAAGGAAGGAAGGAAGGAGGGAAGGAACAAGGGAAGGGAGGGAAGGAGGGAGGAAAGAAGAAAGTTTTTTATATTTTCCAGAGATAAAAATGTTAGCAAGGTATAAAAATATAAGCGTATTGGCAAGGGAAGTAATTGGGTTCATTAAGTTAACCACTGTAGACTGGGAAAAATGCAGAAAGCAATGTTGGATCAAGAAATATGTGTAATGATTGTTTTTGTTAAATAATTTATGAAACCAGAATACTTCAAAATCCCTTTAAGTACACTCTGTCATGTTATAGGGCCAAAATAAAAGATCCCAAATACTTTGACCTCTGTAATTCACCTCTTCTTTTATGATACTTCAATTTGTCTCTAACCACATTGAGTAGTATGAAATGGTCAAAGATTTTTTTTCAGATTCATATTATAATTTTTAAGAAAGGTGATATAAAGTATTCAAAAACAGAACAAGCAAATAGGGTATTACAATTCCTGAATAATGGCAAATTGCTTGAGGGGCTTAGAGGTTCTCTCAGAACCAAAGCACATAGTAATACAGTTTGATGCTCACTATTCCTAATTTTAGTAGATATTCCTTTTTCTCAGAAGCTTTGGATTAAACATTTCATATGGAACAAGGTTAAGGTGGAGTTTATTCTTATTTTCCCATATGATCAAAGTCTAATAATATGTTGGAAAAATTATTCACTAAGAATGGGCTTGAGGTGGGATTTCCAAAGAATAATATCTTTTAAAGTTTTCTTTTGGAATATAGCTACTTGCAATACCAAAGTTGCACATGCACCCAAATCATCACCAAGCTGAAAATCAATGGTTTAGTTCCTGCTTGAGGTAAAGCAGGGTGTATATGTTGTTTGAATCATAAATTACATTAAATGGTTAGATAGGCCCTGCAAGATTTTCTTGACATAAAACTATTAAGTCGATATATTTTGTTAAAATGTTTTAAATCTTTAATTCCAAAATAAATACCTAAATATAATGATGTCTTCTGCCAAGAAATCTTTCTTTTACATTTATCCAGTAGCCAGAGATACTATTCAATTCACTTCTCCTTGCATACTACAGCCACAAATATGTATTAGAGATGAAAGGGCTGGATGAATCCAGGGCAAATTCTGAAGATGGCATTTACCATACATTACCTATGCATGTTTTCTCATCTGAATCAAGCTGGTGTCCATGGTTACAGGAACAATGGGGGGCCCCCCCAAGTACATGCTCTCAGTGATGGGAACAACCACCATTGTTCTCTTTACAGCTATTGACAATTTCCAATGCAATCCCTTTCCAAAACAAGCAAAAGAGTAATTAGCATAACAACAGGGAAACCTGAATATATGTTAATAATGGGTACACTCTGTTAGGAGGATGACAAACTTTATTGGAAATTTATCAACACTCTACACATATAAAACTGAGGGCTATTAGGCATTGTAAATGTCTATACCTTATCAAAAATAAACCTATAAATAATGTTAAACTGATGAAGTGATACAGAAAAGTAATGAGTCCACCAGTGGTTATTAAACACTCTTCTTAAAAGACAGTTACCTCTGGGAATTTTCAGTATTTTCAGGATATAAAAAATACGCACATTGAATCGATGATCAGAACGCAAGTAGGTTGTTTGCCAGTTGACGCATCTGTTCTCAAGCTAATGGTATGTTATTATCTGTCCTTTTTTAGAGGCTGTAAGTACATGAAAATAATGTTAAAAATAGCCTTACAAAAGTATGATCACAAAACCAATGAATGAGCTGATCATTCGTAGTAACTAGTATCGCGTTGATGTACTAATTAGTTTTGATATATATGAGCATCACTTATTACATAAACATACTATGACTTTGAAAAACAATTTGCTGATCCTGGTACATGCAACTAACTATAGGCATTTAGGGGGACACTGGCCTCAGCATATGGATACCAATTGTCCTAAGCACACAGGCATTGTAATCAATCATTTTCTAAGTGAGGAAATGAGAAAGAAAGAATGCTTTGAATCATTGTTAAAAATACAGAATCTGGGTATTCTGCTATTTTCACCACTGGCCACTATAGTTCTTCGTTTGTGTTGCCTGGACCCACCTCTTCTTAATAAGAGTGTTTATATTGGTTCATTTCCTTCCATTCTTAACTACTGAAGAAGAGAGACAGGAAAGAAGAGGAAAAGGGTACTAGGGATTCAGTACCCTTGAAGGCCTGTATCAGCATTCAAACGGTCTTGATCCCTGCTGCAGCGCCTGTATGGTAATAGCTCCCGGGCCCCCAGCCTCAGTCTCTGGTAGGAGCCACCCTATGTGCTCCTCTGCAGAGCACTCAGCGCTCATCCTGTCATTGGGCTCATCCCTCTGTGCCATCATCATCCTGCATCACCCAGCTCATCGCAGATGTTCAAAAATAGGTTTCGAATGATTGAGTAGACAAAAGGATTATGCTAATCAATTTGTTATTGAAAATAAGGACCCCTTTGGGTTTAGAAACAACTACTTTAGCACTGAGGGAAATTCGAAAGCTAAAGGAAAGATCAAAATAATGAAGAGGACTGATATTTTTATAACATGTTAACATATACTCTTTAAGGAGACATACTTTAAATCATGGCTCCTATTCTGGTTATTTTCTGTGGACAATGCAGTTGTAAGACTGCTGGTGGTAATTTAATTTAAATATAAATTACATTGTTGTAACCTTTATTAAAGAATACATGAAACTAAAACAAGTGCATACTTAGATCTATTATAACTGCCCACTAGAAGTAAACTGAGATTTTGCGTCCTTGATACTGGTGTTAAATAATTCTCAACCATCTTACTTTAAAAAAAAAAAAAAAACTTTAAAAAATGATCCTTGTAGTTTGTCACAGAGAGCAAATAACCATTATTTATTCAACATATTAAGTGTACACTAAATTGCTTGGTAATCTGGGGAAGTCTTATTTAACCACGCTGGATCTGGAATTTTCCAATTTATTTATTTACTTTTTTAAAGTAGGCTCCATGTTCAGCATGGAGCCCAATGTGGGGCTAGAACTCAGGACCCTAAGATCAAGACCTGAGCTGAGATTAAGAGTCAGATGATGAACTGACTGAGCCACCTAGGCACCCCAGGAATTTTCCAATTTCTAATCATGAGTCAGTGATAGTGTATTTATACCACTCCATAAAGATTTCATTTTTATGCTATACAGTGTTTTTAGAGCCTCTGAGGAGAAATTAGACAAACACAAAACATTGTTTTCCTAGGAAAAAACTAAAACAATATTTTCCTAAAATATACTTGTTATCCGAAGGACACATAATTCATCCTTAAACATTACCGTGTTCTGAAAACACTTCCTCTACCTACCGGTTTTGAAGCCACCCAAAACACCAGTTTTCACCAAGAAAGTTTTGTGTGTCAGTTAGTAAATATTGAGGCCTAGTGAGACCTGCACAAAGAACTTAGCCAAATATTCTCATAAGGGAAAAAAATGTAAAACTACACTTCTACCAAACGTATTCAACTCTAGGGCAAATTGCCCTACCAAGTAAATTCTACTGAAAGCCTGTACCTCATAAGTCATTAGCAATAATGGCCCCCTCTTTCATGACAACTGAAAATGCACCAGTCAGACTGCAAGAGATTTTATTTCAGACATTTGTAAAGTATACTCATTTCCTAAACCTCCTAAACCTCTGGCCGCATTAAAAAGTCAAAATATTAATAAGAAAGAAAAACTCATCCACATTTCTCTCTGCTTGAAAGGACTCCTCAGGGCACTGAGAGAAAGACTCACTTCAGAAGTTGTATCGTAATTAGCAGTTAATTCTTCTCTCCTGTCCTATTAGTTTGCTCTTGAAAAGACAAATACCAACCTAGCAAAACTGCCTTGACTTTAAGCAATAGAAATATACCATCAGAACTCACGGCTACACTGGCAACCCAAGCATTAAAAAAACAGAATTTTGTGCAGTGGAGATGAATTCTTTAAATTCTTTAGTGACCCTAAAAATGTCTCTTCATGAGACAGCTTAGGGAAGAACATAAATTTGTTTATTCTATTTATCACTATCATTCCTCCTTGATTAAATTAATAAGTAGGCACACAATGTATACAAATGCATAAGAAAGTTGAAAGGACAGTATATTTGGAGCCTAAAGACCCCAGTTCAAGTCCCAGTGCTGTCACTTACTAATTTTGTGTCATTGAGTTTTTGGCTCCAACATTGAATTGATAGTTTTCTAAGGTATGGAGAACAGGGAACAGCATATTTGGAACTGAGACTGGAAATCAGCAGTTCTGTTTTGTAATGCCTATCAGTCAAGCAACTGGAGACAAGGAGTACACAGTTTGATATATTCACATATAGTGAACAGAAGAAGAGAAATGAAATATAAATTGGACATTTAGAGAGGGGAAAGAGATGGAAAGGAAACCAGGAAAATGTGAAAACATGAAAGAGAAGGAAAATGTTTTGAGAAGAAGGTTGGGGGCACCTGGGTGGCTGAGTTGGCTAAGAGCCCAACTTGATTTCAATTTAAAATGAAGAAAAGTGAGACATAGAAAAGTTTAACTTCTGGCACCTGGGTGACTCAGTCCATTCAACATCTGGCTGTTGATTTTGGCTTAGGTCATGATCTCATGGTTCATGAGATTGAGCCCTGTGTAAGGCTCTGCACTGACAGTGTGGAGCCTGTCTGGGATTCTCTCTCTCCCTCTCTCTCTGCCTCTCCCCTGCACACGTGTGCGTGCTCTCTCTCTCTCTCTCTCCAAAATAAATAAATAAACATTTAAAAAAAGAATAAGAATAGGGGTTAGTCAAGTGTGTTGAATGCTGCTGACAGGTCACGTTGGATAAAACCAGAGATGCTAACAAGCAGCCTGGCAGTATGGAAGCTATGGATGACTATGAGTGGGTAGAGATGAGATGTGATTAGTCTTGGACAATGGCCCTGATTACATAAGAAGAGGCAGAGGTGGATAAATCAGCCAAAGAAATAAGAAAAAAAAAAAACTTCTGTCATTTAAAAGAAGAGGGAAGAAGTGGAGGAAGAGTGAGTTAGAGAAATATTGAAGCAGAGAACATGGAATTTGAGGGAATTTGTATCAGATAATTTTAAGCTTAGTAAAGCAGAAAGTGCATTATTCATCTATAGGTTGAGTAGTGGACCAATGGAGAAGACACGAAACAAAATAGACATAATAGCTATTTTTAAAAAAAAAATTTTTTTTTCAACGTTTATTTATTTTGGGGACAGAGAGAGACAGAGCATGAACGGGGGAGGGGCAGAGAGAGAGGGAGACACAGAATCGGAAACAGGCTCCAGGCTCTGAGCCATCAGCCCAGAGCCCGACGCGGGGCTTGAACTCCCGGACCGCGAGATCGTGACCTGGCTGAAGTCGGACACCTAACCGACTGCGCCACCCAGGCGCCCCCATAATAGCTATTAATAGCAGTTAATAATTCCACATATTAACATTTTAATGTATTCACAATAAGAGCTCTATTACATTGTATAATGGAGCCTAGGTGAGGAAAGGCTAAAGTTAGATGACATGGACCATCTTTTTTTGAGTAAGAAGAAGAAAAGGGGTACACAGATGAGCCAGTGAAAGAGAATGCAGTCAGAAGAAGCTGCTTAAAGCTCTTCATGCCTCTTTAAAGGCATGATGGAAAGGGGCCCCTGGGGGGGCTCAGTCCGTTAAGCGTCCGACTTCGGCTCTGGTCACGATCTCACAGTCTGTGAGTTCAAGCCCCGTGTCGGGCTCTGTGCTGACAGCTCAGAGCCTGGAGCGTGCTTCGGATTCTATGTTTCTCTCTCTCTCTCTCTCTCTCTCTCTCTCTCTCTGCTTCTCCCCCACTTGTGCTCTGTCTCTCTCTCTCTCTCAAAAACAAATAAAATGTAAAAAAAAAAAAAAAAAAGGCATGATGGAAATGAACAGAAATGGGAAAGGGAGAAGAGCTGATGTGAAAAATACACATTAGAGCATCCGATGTGCCAGGAACGCTATTTCAATCACGAGCTGCTCCTGTACGTCACCACCACTAGCTCCTTTTCCTGGTATTTTACATTGGAGTTATTAGTGTTCAATAAATACTGCATGGCAGAGGTGATGAAGGTGGGCAGACTCCTCACAAAGGAGAGCTGTGGGTCAAAAAGAGCCCTGGATCACAAGCCTTGAGACAGCCCTTACTGTGTACACTGTGGTGATTATGCCAACCATTTTCTGTGGAGTCTGGGCCTGTTTCCTCAAACCACAATGAGGGTGTTGGACTTCTAAGATCCCACTCTTACCACACCCCAGGGGAAAACATTTCCAGAAGCTTCTGCTTTGGCAAGTTATGCAGTACAGTTCTTTTGTTTATTACTCTTGTTTAATATTTGTAAAATGCAACACATTTCCTGGGCTTCTATTGCTGCCACTTACCGTAACAGTTTTCCATCGGCTCCCAGCTCGAAGCCGGGGTGTCAGGCACACGTGAAAGGTCCCATTGTGTTCATGCAGTGACGGCTGCAGTGAGCCAGCCCTTCAGCACACTCATTTATATCTGCAGAAAGAGATACACAGCAGCTATGTTTTCAGGGCCCAAATCGACATTTATTTGTAAACTATAAACATGAGCTAAAGCGTCTCCTTCCTCTCAACCCCAGACATCAAGCATACAGTAAAATACCACACAGGCACCACATTTGCAAATAAACCAACTGCTAATTGTATTTTCTCAAGTGCTGGTCTAATGCTCTCAAATACTTCTATCAGAATCTACTAATATTTATTAATTGGGAGAACGAGGAAAGGAAATAACTAAAAATTATACCTTATCTGTTCCCTAATAATATAGGGAGAAGTCATCCTAATTTTCCTTTAGGAATATATATCACATTCTTGGGGCGCCTGGGTGGCGCAGTCGGTTAAGCGCCCGACTTCAGCCAGGTCACGATCTCGCGGTCCGTGAGTTCGAGCCCCGCGTCAGGCTCTGGGCTGATGGCTCAGAGCCTGGAGCCTGTTTCCGATTCTGAGTCTCCCTCTCTCTCTGCCCCTCTCCCGTTCATGCTCTGTCTCTCTCTGTCCCAAAAATAAATAAACGTTGAAAAAAAAAAAAAACTTAAAAAAAAAAAAAAAGGAATATATATCACATTCTCAACCAAAAATGGTATCTCCCTCATTTAATGTAGACAGGACATGTGGACCAGGCAGATTTGGGGCCTTCATGTGTAGCAATCCATGGTCTATGCTCTACCTGATTGCCACAGGGCAGTGCCATTTAAACAAGGATGCTCCCTCCTTGTCCTGACACTGAGAGCCTGTTCCATTCAGTGTAACTTCATTCTGTGGTCCAGATAGTCCCTGTTCTTTCCCTTCAAGTCGATAGGTCTCAACATCATTTTCCCAAGGAGTACTTATTCTTGTACTGTCCTGTGTGTCATCTGCAAGGGCATTCATGAGAGATACTCATTCCTCTGAGATATTTGTAAAATTCTAAGTGGACAGTAATTTGGGGGATAGACTTTCTGGGAATAATGAATGAGACACTAAAATAAAATTTTGAAAGAGATTGTATCTAGATACATATAGATAGCTGTATATATCTATACACGTATGTATTTGTCGAGTTTCCACAAATATTTAATAAGGCCCTAGTCTGTGCCGGGTGCTAAGTTAGGTAAATGCTGTGTAAACAGAAGACCAAGGCAGAAATGGTCTCTGTCAGAAACGTATATTAGTACCATCAACACAAAATTGTATCTTAGTTTTGGCTTAAAGAAGAAAAAAAATAACTATGCAGTAACTTTTAGACCTAATTCTTTTTCAGTTTCTTAATGTGTTTATCCATCCCATAAGTCAGGAAATATTTTGGTATTTTCATAATTAATCCAAATAAACTGTTTCTCATTTCATGAAAATGTCATGATAAAAATGAAGGATTCTGTGATTTCTCTGAAGTTATTAAAACAAAGACTGTCCCACAGGAATGATTTCATTTATTAGTTCTGGTTATGGAATAATTTGTCACTTTCATCTTTGAATTGAAGCATGTCTGTTTTGCTATTTCTAGGAAACAGAAATATGTAACCTTGTATTTATAGTTTCTTTCTTTTTGGTTTTAATTATTTCTAACTTCTGAGAACACTCATTTGCACATACTTGTGTTTCAAAGGTTATCCCCCACTATCTGTAGCCAGTAATGAAAAGCACCCTGTGTAGTTATGGAAGGTTTTGAATATTAATTCTGGAATTCACTTCATAATGAGAAACAGAAAACAAAAGCATTAATTCTGAAACTACACCAGACCGTTTCTTTTGTAACTAAAATTTCACTGAGTTGTTATAATTTCACAAAAATACCTTTCAGAATGATCAAATGCGATTATAGGTGTTCTTTTTAAAGCATAAATGAAAACACCTTTCTCCCAGCAGTTCTGATTATTCAAAACTGAATTACAGCAAGATTTCAAACAATTACACAATTAAGCCATCAGCTTCAACCTTCTACCTCCACGGACCTTTGTGTCTTCAGACAGCTGGTACCCCGGGCAAACAGAGACACCTGGCCACACCATTCTCATCTGACAGATGTGAGGACATCCATTCCCACCCACGCAGTGGTCCATCTCTGAAAGCAATTGAGCAGTGGTAGTTTATAATTCATTAACTTCATAAAGATATACAAGGTGGATGGGTGGAGAGAGGTAAAGAGGGAACTGGGCCCATGGGGTTTCTCATCTAAAGATGGTAAGGACTCACTCTGGAGAGTCTTTTCCCACTTCCAGAAAGAACTAATCCCATAAAAAGTTTCCCATTTTGTGATCTGAACTCTGAAATCTCAACAGATTTAAATATGGACTCGAGCCAGAGAAGAATTACCTTAATTTCACTCTTTCCAGAATATGCCTTCTGCCCTCTGGTACCAAAAGTTCAACAGAGTCAGCATAAACACTATCATATACTCTTTCATTTTCTCCTTCTCTCCCAACCATTTTACTCCTTTGGGCATCAGAATCATTTTTATCTCCTCTGGGTCACCTTTGCCTTTGGATAAACAACCATGGTGTGAGAAGAAGGGAGGCTGAAGCAACAGAGGAGAGTCTTAGCCATAGCTCCCATAGCTGGGGGAGATGGAATATAGTTCAGATCCCACTGTAATTAAGTCATGTGGCCTCCTTCTCACCCTTGCTTGCTCCTGTCTTAATCAGTCTTAGTCAAATTCTCTGGAAGTCTGGAATATTGTGAAGTCATATATCCTATCAGGAGTACCTCAATATAGAGCTTATTTGTTGATTTTGACAAGCTGCTGGGGTAGAACTACAGAATTTCTGCTCCTGTCCTCATACTTTTTCCCCCTATAATACACAGAGTATATAAATCAAAACAATATATAGAGCCACTCTGTCCCCACATTGGCCTAGTTTTAACCCAACCACTACCACACGTAAATGCTTTCATTAGTTTTTTGGTTTTTTTGTGTGTGTGAATCATTTCAGACTTTGTTTTCAAAAATGTAATACATATACGCACAGCCATATTGTGCGTATATATATATATATATATTTACCTTTCACAGTTACAGTACATAGTATTATACTTTTTGCTTTTATGATATAGAGAAATTAAGTTGAAATTGTAGATTAATTTGGGGGAGTATTGTCATTTCAACAATATTAAAGCATCTGATCCATGAACATGAGATGTCTTTCCATTTACTTTAGGTATTTAATTTGTTTCAAAATGTTTTATAGTTGTTAATATATAAGTTTTGTACTTTTTTGTTAAATTTATTCTTAAATATTTTACCCCTTTTGATGCTGTTGCAAATAGAATTGTTTAATTTCACTTCTAGATTATTCATTGCTACTATATAGAAAACCAATTTGACTTTTATGTGTTCATTTTATTTAAAAAAAAATTTTTTTTTCAACGTTTATTTATTTTTGGGACAGAGAGAGACAGAGCATAAACGGGGGAGGGGCAGAGAGAGAGGGAGACACAGAATCGGAAACAGGCTCCAGGCTCTGAGCCATCAGCCCAGAGCCCGACGCGGGGCTCGAACTCCCGGACCGCGAGATCGTGACCTGGCTGAAGTCTGATGCTTAACCGACTGCGCCACCCAGGCGCCCCTATGTGTTCATTTTATATCCTTCAACTTTGCTGAATTTCTTCATTAGCTCTACTAGGTTTTGTAAGTGAATTCCTTAGGGTTTTCTATACACAAATCGTGTCATCTACAAATGGAGAGATTCCATTTCCTCCTTCACATTCTTGATGCTTTTCCTCTTCTCTTGCCTTATTTTTCTGGTTAGAACCTACAGTATAATGTTGAATAGAAGTGGCATGAACAGACATCCTTGTCTGATTCCTGATCTTAGGGGGAAGGTTTCAGTATTCATTATTAAGTGTAATGCTATCTGTAGGTTTTTCATAGGTTCTCTTTCTCAGGTTGAGAAAGTTCTCTTCTGTTTTAAGTTTGTTGAATTATCATGAAAGGATGCTAGATTCTGTCAAGTGTTTTGTTTTGTTTTGATTTCTCTTCTTGAATCTATTGGGATGAGATGATAATGTGGTTTTTGTATTTTATTCTATTTATATGGTATATAGCATTAATTGATTTTGAGATGTGGAACCAACCTTGTTTTTCTGAGATAAATCTTACTTGATCATAGTGTATAATCCCTTCTAAATGTTGTTGGATTTGGTTTCCTAATATTTTGTTTAGGATTTTATATCCACATTCATAAATATATTTGTTTGTTGTTTTCTTTCTAGTGTTATCCTTGTCTGGTATTGCTATGAGGGTAATTCTGACTTCATGGAATGAATTGGAAGTGTTCTCTTCTCTTTCATATTTTTAAATAATTTGTAAAAATTTGTACTAATTCTTCTTAAGCATTTGGTATAATTCACCATTGAACCCATCTGGACCGGAGCTTTTCTTTTTGGGAAGTTTCAAAATTACTAATTCTATCTTTTTACTTATTATATATCTAACTCAGTGTGCTCCCGAATTTCACAAAAAATAAAATTTGGTGGAATTTTTGGTTTTGTTTTCTTTACTGCATCTGTATTTTTGTCACAGGTTAAGAGACCTACACAGCTACGTTTATGCCAGAAACTTAATTTACTTAATCTATATCCCCTGCTACCAACTCTTCAGACAGTGGGATAGGTAACGTCTCCTCTGAACTCAGGAAAGTGAAGGGTCATTTCTGCCAGATGTAAAATTATGAACTAGATTGCAATTATGTTTGATATGTTCTTCTCATTGACCACTGTCTCTGGGAACACCTTTTCTAGATTCACTTTAATCGTCTATTGCCCTAACGCCTTCTTGATGTCCAGGTCTCAATAGAAGGGGTTACCCTCCCAGAAAGTGGCTATATATAGTCCTATAGGAAGCCCTACTACTGTCAGAGGTCCCTTTTGGTTGGGGGACTGGTTTTTAACTGTGGACTTAACTCATTTGAATTAGGCATGAAAGAACTGTAAAATAAAACTTCTACAATGCAGCATTTGGTAAAACTTTTATTTTCAGCTGCAGAACATAGAAGGATA